GGGGGGGGCGGGGGGCGGGGAGGCGGGGGGTCGGCAGCGACGAGAGACGAGGGACACGATCACTGAGGCCAAGATCCGAGGGGACGGAAGAAAATGCACGCGGACCGGACGACGCTTGGCTCGCCCCGATCGCCCTGTCTGCGCGCGCCAGCCTCAAAACAAAATGCGGCGCGAGGAAAGGCTCCGCTGCGTCATAGACGCCCCCCCCGCATCCCTTTCCTCGTCCTCGTCCTCGTCCTCGTCGTCCTTGTCGTCGCTGCCGTCGATGTCGACCCCGCGCCAGTCGTATGACACCACCGACGACGCACTTCGCCCAGGTCAGTCCCGCCTCCCGCAGTCTCGGTCGCCCCCGCCGCCTGATCCGTCCCCCGCAGATTCAGTCCTCTCCGACGACTCGCGCCGCGACTCGCCCGAGCCCCCGTCGTCGTCCCACCTGAGCCCCCCGCGCTCACTCCCCTCCCGCTCACCGTCGTCCCCGCTCAACCCCAATGCCTCCGTCCGCCGTCCCCGCAAGACTAGCTCCCCACACATCCAGCTCGTCGCCTCCGACGAATCCCACGCGTTCGCTTCTCAGACCCCCACCTCCGACTCCCCCGCCCGCCGCGGCTCGATGATCCTCTACAAGTTCGCCCCCGACGACACAGCCGACTCCCCCGAGCCCCCCGCTCTCGACACCCTCCCGCATACTCCCACGCTCCCCCCAGCAGACTCGCTCTTCACCCTCTCCTACGACTCCAAATACCCCTCCGGCTCCTCCGTCTCCGGCACCCGCCGCTTCATTCCGTACGCCTTCGACCCTGGCGACGCGTCCAAGCAGGAGGCCGAGGACGACGACTACCTCTACCAGCCCGAGTACGGCGACCACCCCGGCGGCTGCATGTCCCTCTCCTGGCGTGGCATGTTCAACCTTGGCGCGCTCCTCCTCCTCATCGGCGCGCTCCTCGCCCTCTTTGTCTGCTACCCCGTCATCTCCTTCGTCCGCGGTTACGGCCTCGGCTATGCCGCCGTGAACAACGCGAATGTCAACAGCACCGGCCAGGCCGTCGCCCGCGCCGCGGACATCGCGTTCCACCACGCCCGCGCCGCCTTCGACGCGCCGCTCGGGACTGGGTAGCAGCGGAGGTCGAAGCAAGGACGTCGGTCTGTCTGTGGAGGTTAGGCAGCCGCGGACGTCTGGTCTGAGGCTAGTCCAGTCTGAACTCGCCGAGTCGAGTCCTCCGCTATCGGTATTCTTGTCCTCTCGTCCGCCCGTGCCATGCCCGCGCCCGGTCGCCCGCCAGCCCTGCTCTCCGCGCTCACCACGATTTACGCTAACCAGTGTCGATCGCATCGGACCCATCTCTCCATGCGCGTGCCGCTCATCTGTCTCTGCTCTGTTTTCATTCATCTAGTTAATGAGCTGTATCTCTGCTTGGACGAACGGACTTGGTAGTTTCTTGTACAAATATAATAATGCGATGCACACACTTACCGCGCAATCTGTCGTCATGGCGAGTCGTGCGTTCTTCAGCAGTCTTTTCCATCTTATATGCGCATGTTCAGAAGGAGATATATTCAAAGTCAGTAGCGCCCTCAGGCGGATCAATCGGTCGCGGCGGCGCGTCAAACTAGGTGTAGTGGCTGGCGACATCCACTGCGGAGACCTTGTACAGTGTCAACGAGCTAGATGTCTCTCCGACTTTCAATCCACTATTTGCACACCCTCTAGCTTGTCCAGAATTCTGTATATGCGCAATGTTAGAAGCACAAATGAAATGACCGCTTCCCCTGTGCAGAACAGCAACAGCGGTTGAGTCGGTCGGGGCCCGGGTGTGTGGATGTGGCTTTGAGTCGCCGGGACTTGCTGTGAGCTTGTGTTTCTTCAAATGCGTCTGAAACTTCTGGTCCAGCCACTCTCATCCGTACCGGGACCACACCGCATGTGCGGCGCACTTTCTTTGTGAGGGCAGCACCCTGCCCGCCGTTCTTGGTTTGAGCACTGTGGGCACTGTGGGCACTGTTTCTTGTTCTCTTGGTGGACATCTTGTGCATCCCTGCAGGCGCTATGTGTATCTGGGACTATACCTATACCACAGTGTGCACTGAACGTGTACCTCTTCGTCTGTGAGTATTGCTGTGACATCCGATCCCGAGTCTCGCTTTGAATGTTCTCCACCACCTCCTTTCATTCATATATCATCTCCGGCTCATGAGCACCTTTTCTCGAGGCTGCTGTCGTTTCCGGCCACCGTACCATTTCGAGCAAAAGCCAGAGCAAGAGTAGGTTCCGATAGGCGAGGAACGTCTCTCGAACGCCTCCTGGCCATTCATCTCATGTTAAACAAGGGCGTAGCTCACGTTGGGCACCTTCGTTCTTCAGTCCGGGATGGTGGCCCGCTTGGTGCACTGCAGGTTCAAATGATGGTTCGCCTTGAGTGGTTATTGGCCACTCTCGAACACCTCATTTTTACCTTTCACGTGCGTGGACAGAACGTATATACGAGCGAACGGGCGGGCAGATTTCGAGGTGTCAGCAAAGGATTGATTGTTTCATTGTTATGGTATTCTGTGTGCGTGAACAGGTGGTGTATAAGTAATATGGTATGTCGTTTACTTCGTGACCCCCAGACTCTAACGTAGACTTACTTCTAAACTATGTAGGTTGCGAGAGCCAGACAATTTACGAACATCCAATGCCCTCAAGTCCGACATGAGATGATCGAGAAAGAGGACATCGTCTATTCATCACAGGGGAGTTACACTTCGTACACACACACGTTCAAAGCCTAGTCTACTATACATACACCATAATCTACACAGTCCAGTCCTCATCCACAGTACGCGTTCATCGGGCAGCCCACGCTCGTGCCGTATATCGCGCCCGACACCTTCCCAATCTGCAGCGCCGCATTGACGATCCCACCCAGGCCCTCGCCCGCGATCATGCCCGCCGCCACCGCGTAGCCGTACATGATCCACGAGCCCGCAAAGCGCCGCTGCCACACGAGCGCGATGAGGCTCCCGAACATCATCGCCGTCGGGTACACGTTCGACGGGCCGAGCACCATCGCGATGCCGACCGCGTTCCAGTTCGGGAACCACTTGTGCTGTGCCGGCGCGACGTAGCGGTGCTTCACGGCCGTCGAGACGATGACGAGCCCGCCGAACACGAGTGCGGTGACCCCTGACGACAGCGGGATGGGCAGCGACGGGTCGGACACGGCGAGTGAGACTGCGCGCCACGCGGCGACGTCCGGCGCGGGGAACGAGCACGTCGTCGTCGAGAGCGTGTTGATGCACGGGTACGCGGTCGAGAAGACGACGTACATCGCCGTCGAGAGGAAGATGGAGACGAGCGCGCCCGCGCACTGTGCGTAGAGCTGCACGCGCGGCGATGCGCCGAGGAGGTGCGTCGTCTTGAGGTCGCCGAGCATGTCGGAGCACTGCTCGGCTGCGGCGAGCGTGATCATGCCCGTCAGGCCGTTGTTGAGCTGGTTCTGTGCCTGGGGCATATTCGAGCCTTTAGAGATACCGCCGAAGATCTGTGCAACATGTCGTCAGCGCGCGAACATCTGGCGGGCAGGCGGGAGCACGTACCAGCTGCGAGAAGTTGCCCAGCGTGGTGACCGGGTTCACTGACACGCGGCCAACGCACTCGGCGCCAACGAGCGAGAAGATGAATGCAAAGACGATAGACAAAAGCGTGATGCCCGCGTTCTGGCCGAACTGGTACTTCATCACGCACATCGTCATGATCGTACTCACAACAAGGCCGCCGACCCACATCCACCACGGCGTCTGCTCCTCTGGAGGCACAGGGTCGAAGAACCCATCTTCCTCCTTGACGTCGCCCGTCGAGCCGGGGCGGATGCGCTCGATAAGGGGCGCGAGCATCACCGAGAACGCAGTCACGATCGACTTGTAGTTCGCGCCAATTTCGCTCACGCTTGCGGTGAGCAGGAGCATGCAGCCCGGCCAGATCATCCAGTACTCGGGCGATGGCTTGTGCACCGGGTCATCGAGGACCATGTTCGCGTAGTTGATGTAGCCTGGATACTGCGCGGCGTATGCCTCACCGAACGCCCGGCCGGTCGTGACGAGAGCGGGCCCGATGATAGCCCACGCAAGAGCGGCGCCACCAACGAACGAGACCGAGCTGTTCATTGGTACCAGCAGCCCAACGCCGATGAAGGCGGGCGTCCACTCCCATATCCAGCCCTGCGGGACAATCGATGTCAACGCGCACGAGCAGGTGCAAAGGTAGAGATACTCACCCAGCTCTCAGCACAGATGATCCATTTCCAGCCCGCGCGGTAGAACCACCAACTCCAGTGCCAGTCCCACATGATCCCCGGTGCGTACTCGCTCACGACGCGCCACATGATCGAAATCCCGAACGCGATCGCCAACGCCCACGTCTTCTTGCGCGCATTGGCGGCGGCGTCCGCGCCCACGTGCAGCGAGCGGATGGTGTACGCAGTCGCGACGGAGCTTGGGAAGGTCAGTTTGAGTTTGAGGATGTACAACCGCCGCAACGGCATGGTGAAGAAAATGCCGACATATGCACAACAGATGGTGAAGGTGATAAGACGGCTGTTGGGATGTCAAGCCGGTGAGTCGTGGCGTATATGGCGCAATAGAACGCCACTTTTACCCAAAGTCAGCAGAGGGGTCCTTCCCAAGAAGGCCAAGCTGATACGCCGCAGGGAAGCCAGAACTGAACAGAAGACCTAGGGAACCCGCAGCCTGAAGACGATAAGAAACGCGAAAAACAATCACAGGTTGCCACATACCGTAGCCGCACTCTGGCAGCAGACATTTTCCTTCGGCCCGAAGTATCCTCCCCCTAACCATTCGGGGAGTGCTTTGGATAGCGGCTTGAGGATGGCAAAGCCGAAAATCGAGCCAAACATGGACGCGCCAAACGTCCAGCCAGTTTTGAGGCCGAGATAGACGCTGTAGCGACAACATCAGTGTACGCACGCGCAGCAAGATGAAATGCTCACTTGCTGGCCGAAATCACGGCACCGAGCGCGCATCCAACGAAGACTGCACGGAACGTGAGCTGCTGTTCCTCAGGTGCATCTGGATCGACGGGGAAAGGATCATCAGTGCCAAAGTCCATCAAGCCACTGTTCTTGTCTTCATATTCGACAGACGGGACGTCCAGGACCTGGTCGGAATAGGACTTTTTCTCGTCGAACTGGTCCTCGTGCTCGATCTGCTCCATGACCGTCTGGCCAGGTGGCATCTTTTCGCCCGCGGAGGCCATATCAGAGGTGAGCGTGAGCTGGAGCGCAGCAAACGGCGGCCAAGAGGATAATCAGGGAGTAGCTTTTATATGGCCTGCCACGGGAGGCGATAAGGCGCTCTCCACTGTAGCGTGACCATCCCCAAGTTAGCATATCAGGGCTCCTTACGGCAGAAGACTTACTGAGATCCCGTATCTCGACGTGGTCAGTCTGAGACCAGATACGCGAGGCCGAGTTTCGAAGTATGCTTCTCGGAAGACCTCAAGTGCCAGGATGATTGTCGTACCTATCTCTACCGCAAACTGCATTCGCCGCGGCCACTGTGTACGAGTTGACTAGCACCGCTGGAACACGTCCGGTCTACGACATCAGATTGGCGCGTTATCGACGTGTCCATGTGTGCGGGGGCGACTCGAGAATGCGCGCTGGGAGATAACCAGCCTCCGCAGATCTTCCGCCCATTCGAACGTTATCACCCGCAGGAGATCCATGGTGTGAGTGAGCCTCGAGCTAGTCTAGGGAGACTTTGGGATGCAGCCTGCATGTCGTGTGCCAGCGACTGGCGTCATGCATGCAGACGAGCAGCGGTTGTGAGGAGTCGAATAGCACCCGGGCCGACCGGTTCGCCATCAATATGTCACAAATTGAGCAGCTCCACAACGCTCGGCTAACAACATGCCCTCTCCGATAGAGCACGTATCATTGATTCCATTTGAATCTTATCTGCTTTGAGACTCTCGATAAACTGTCGCTGCACAACACCATCCAGGACTGCAGCTCCCAGCTTGCGCAGGATGCAAACCGGCTTTCAACATCCTGGACCAACGGCTTGAAAGTGATCGAGCGATCGCTGATGACAAATGAAACATTTTGCATTCGCGCTCCAGTAAGTACGAACAACAACATTTGGCAGTAGTCGAAGGAGGGATGTCCTTGGCTCATCCGCGCCTGATATCCTAGGAGTCTTGATAACACACTGCAAGAGGATGTTGCGAATACCCGGTCAGGAACGGCTAACCACCGCAGGCAAGTGCTGTGCGCCCCGAGGCTTCACAGGGTACTACTATCGCTCTCGCAGGTTATGTTCTCGAAGTTGCCTAGTATTCAAATTAGTATACTCGGAAGAAATGGCTGGTTCATTTGTGTAGCATGTATTTGCTGCTAAGACCCTGTCTCTCCCTCTTTGAAGCTGAACTTCCGCTTCGCGATTGAGCTGATTTTTGGCAATCCTAAATGTCCCAAGGACTGCAGACACCATTATCATAGGCATATACATTCCCTTCGGCGATGAATTCCGTTAGTTCACCACAGAAATTACGATGGCTCTGTACAGATTCACCCAATTACTTCACAGTAGGAATGTGAAGCCAAGGTAGCTGTCAATCTTTTGTAGTAGAGACGCAAGATGCCGTAGGGCATGTCATCTATTCTTGAAAGCAATACCCCCCATATCGTCCGTTCATCAAAGCACTGACAGACACACCCGCCATTCCATCATTCTCCACAAGTTACATTTCTAATTGCACATCTACAAAGACATTTGTCTATACATACACCAGCCCACGCACCGCTTTCTGATGCCGTAGTTCTAAAGCTCCGTCTTGATTCTGTGGAACATCTCCGCACCTTTCCACACCTCCTCTGCGCTGCCTGGTGGAGCAGGCTTCCCATCCAGACCGTACACCCGCTCGCCGGGGTACTCAAACTCTGGAACGACACCTGGAACACAGTTGACAACCTTCACGCCGTAGTCCTCGAATCCCCACGCCTCGCCCGGGCGTGTAGGTGGAGAGAGGAGGATCGCGTTAGTCGACTCCATCGCAATGTCGGAGTCGAAGTAGTTTAGCGGAGTCAGGAAGAAGCTGGGACAGTGAACTATCAGACAACGACAACAGATGGCAGGCGTTCTCATACCTCGATGCGGCAGTATTGGTCCGTGTGTTGGGTGCATCCTCCGCTTGTGGCTTTGGGTAGCGTGTCAGGCGTATAGGTCTGCAATATAAGAATGCCAAGGAGAGCTTACCAGGTGATGAGTCCCGACGTTGATCCACGCAACCAAGTCCTCCTGCGTGATATTCTCACCGTCGAAGAACTTGTGAAAGTCCACCATAGGAGCGCCGGGCAAGTTCTGGTTCCACATGCTGCTCGACGTTGGCTCCGTCTCCTTCCTCTTTGAAACGGCCAGGTTGTATCTCGCCCAGTTCGCGTTGTTCAGTAGACGCTTGGAGCCGACGACCGTCTGTGAAAACAAACGTAAGCACCTCGCGGACATGCAAAAGTTCGCGCATACATTGTGTACTGGAGAATATCCAGCATGGATGGCATATCCTCTCGGTACGCCCCATATATTCTTTTCCTCTCTGTTCACGAGTGCGTAGCCGCCTTGGAAGTTCGTCGGGAACCGCAGCATTGCGTCGTCTTCGTTCTCGATATACGTTCGCGTGATCTTCTGTTGTATCGCGGTGTTGCCCCAGTCGTCCTCGAACCAAGGCTGCTCCACTTCCTCCTGAGCGGTGCTCGTGAAGAGAAGAGAGTTCGCTGAGCCGGCGACATCGAGATCGACCTGCATTCGTGTAAGAAACGCCAGCAATGAAGTCAAAAAATCAGGTCGCACTTTATAATTGATGACGTGATCGTGCAAAGAGCCCACTGATGCCGAACGTAGAATGAGCTAGAGTCCTTGATATGTAACTGGGGGACGTACTTGTAGTATCGTGAATCGCCGTGCCATATCCCTCTTGGCTAGGCTCCCAGAATCCTCCTTGCAGGTATCCGGAAGCCGACAATCGGACCTCGATCGTACCGTCCAAGTGGAAAATGTAATCAAACTGTTGATCATCAGCAATCCATTGCGATTTGAACAATGAAACACTCACCACTATGGGTTGAATAGCAAGCGCGAGGCAATCGTCAGCAACCATACAGCTCATTCTAATATTTCACTCACAATAGTCATAACTTAACTCACGACATTCGAATAAGCACATAGCATACGTCATCGAACAGGCCCACGCACTTTCCAACCGTAGATATACTCCTTACGACAAGAACGTATCCTTTCACTGCACCGAACTCGCCATGCTGGAAGCCCATGTGGCGCGTGAGTGGACGCGCAGTATCGTGTTCAAAGACGCAGATGGCACGCTGGCGAGTAATACTGCCGAGGAATGAGTGTGTAGTCGCAGGGAGGAATACAGCCTCATGTGGGCAGTCGTATCCGGGGAGCATATCACGAACGTTGCCACCCTGATCAAGTATATATCGTATTATAAGACCCACGAAACCGGACATGGAGAAGGCTACACACCATGCCAAAGTATCGATCAAGCCACGCAGTGGTGGATTGCATAGGATCATTTCCGGCTGAATAAAAAAAACGCTCAGCATGCTTCAGCGTGTACCTGTTAAGCATGACGCACCATATTGAGCAATGGCCTCTTGCGGTGCAAGCTATCAGATGTCCGATGCGACACGCGTGAGATATATCAGACTTTGACATTGCACCCAGCATCACGACATACCTCGTAGATCAGCCTCTCCCCGCGGAAGCGCACGTCCCATAGGCTGAGTCCCATGTCTCTATCAAAGCCGAAGTACATCCCCCAACCCATCCAACTGACATATTGGGTCTTGAAATCGACGCGGAAGCGCAGGCCGGCGAACGAAACTGAGCGGGGACCAGGCAGATAGTCAAGATCGCGTGGTGGGACATCGGGACGCGTGCGCGTTGTCCACCCATAGTCTATGTTGTCTGGGCGAGCCGGGAGGCGTCGGAGTGTGCCATTGTGGTACACAGCGAGAAATTCGTCAACGCTGGAGAATACCTGGTGATTGTACACGATCTGCAGGGGCAACAATTATGCATGAGCATGAAATGGACAAAAATGATATTAACGATACCTTGAGGAGCTTCCATTGGCTCGGATCCGTGCCGGACATGTCAACATACATGAAAAATCCGACGGGGTGAAGATACATGCCGGGCACATTCCGCCGCCAGTTGATCCACGTTCTGCGGAACGAGCCGTCGAAACTCAGAGGACCTACTGCTCCCGCAACCAGCGTGTCGTTTTGGAGGCCGAGCGCAACGCCTCCGAACAGATCCTGTGAAGCATCTCCGTCAGTAAGGTGATCACAGATAGGCTCCTACATTGATATACATACCTGTGTGACCTCAGCGAGATCGGACATTCCGACTACATCCAGTATGGGCAGCAGTTCACCCCAGCTGGTGATGCCACGCGCGTTGAATGGAATGTGATCATGGTGGTATATTTCTGTCAGTTCGCGCATCTTGGTTTCCTCACCCACAGGAAGAGGTCCAACAAGATAATCGCGAACAACAGGCTCAGCGGCAGCACCATGGTGGACTGTTACGCGCGCATGCCTCTCTGGCAGACTCTGAGGAGTGGGGTCTTCGAGGTATGCTAGAACATCTTTCTTTGCAGGTCGAAATGCGCCGATGTGGAAAACGAAGTTATCAGAAAGCGCGAGAGAGCCACGATCGCCCGGGGTGAGGTTCAGCGCGCGCTCTGGCACGTTGAGCCACTCCGTGATGGCAACAGTCTCCGCAACTGTGAGCGATGCCCACGGATTCAAAGGGGCTGGTGGAGACGCAAGCGAAGGAAGACTGGAGGCACATTGCTTGAGCGATTCGTTATAGTCGTCAGCGAGGATTGGTGCTGGCACACCCCGCAGATAAGGAGGGAGTGCATAGAATGCAGACAGCCCAGCAGTTGTGACGAGAAAGAATATGCTTAGCACAAGTGTGCGTGAGTTCTTCGCAGGGCGGGTTTGGTCGAATTCAGCGACATCGTCGGTTTTGAGCGGTCGGTACTCTCCCGCCATGGTGCATGCCAGAGACAAAAGAGATGACCTCGATAGGCGGAAGGAAGGCGAGAACAGTCGACGCTGGGAAAGGTAGACCTATAGACCCCATGGCTAAAGTCGAAACGTTGACTCATGGTCGCGGTCCCGCGGAGACTCAGCGGGAGAGAGGCTCTCCACGACGGTGGTCCGGGCAGCTGGCGCCTAGATAACCACTCAGGCTGCATTCAATTGCCTCAGTCCAACCTCAGAGTCCATGTAATTCAGTTTCAACACACTTGGCCATCATAAAAGTCATGTTGTAGATACATCCAAGACGCACTATGAATATAGATGGCGCAATCTCATTAGAATACTTTACTTACATCCTGGAGTCGGAGGTACGTTCATTTCTGTTTCTACACACCTACACACACCGATACTGATCTGTAGACAACCTGCCCGTAATCAGATACAGATATGAAGCCGAGCGCCGCGACGCCAGCGAGTGTGTAGGTTTAACAAGCCCATCGGAGAGCGCTAGCCATATTCATAATCTAAAATTCAAACCTGGTCATTCCAATTGTCTATTTGATGTAGGTAGATACCTACTTTCCCCCCAGCGGTCTCTAGGACAGCATAAAATATGCTCACAAAGAGCAAATGTGGAAAAAATAATCAATCACGACAGCGCGAGAGTAGTCTGAATCGAGTTTCGCAGATACACCCGAAGATGTACCTTGAATGCGAGCCACGAAGTGAGCTGAAGGATGAACACTGTTGGCATCAACCATCTACTCTTCAGCCCCATCCCATCCAAACAAATCACCGTTACATAAGTACACAAGTGAGGTCATTCATGCACTCAAGGAGTGAGCACACAGGAAGGAGAGAAAAGAAGGCTGACCGCAAACCGCCTGGATAGTCCAGACATGTTCACCCCGTCCCCACGGCGCATCCCAAAAGCCTAAAGCTCCCTCGTCCCGGCTTGTTGTTCCCGGACGTTGTTCCTGGACAGCACGCCAGGAGTCTCCGGGACTATATCTAGCTCCTGCATCCGGAGCTGGAGGCCGATGTGCCTGCGTTTCTGGTGCGCCGCGCAGTCAATGATGACAAGACTCCGCTAGAGTCGATCAAGGAGGACTGGAATACTCAGACCTTAGCCCGCTCGCAAACGTGGTCGGCAAGCAACCTGTACGGTATGAGCATCGTGGCCTTCGCACTGTCGGGATGTGGTCGTTGCAAACGGCGGAAGGGGACAACTGAAGGGAGAAATTTATCTGTTTGATAAGCGCTTGATTTGAGCGCTTAGTATATGCCTTCACACGACCTTCACATGACCGTAATTACGCGGCAGTGACTTTCAAGTTCAGTGTCCACAAACGGTCAACGAGGACTTGAACTCAGCATTCTTGACGTACTTCAAGTGCACTCAACATTTGTCTTCGTCGAGCGACCGTTGTCGCTGTCGTGACTTTCGGAGCCAGCTGGACACGCTGCATGCGATGATTATCGAGACGGAAGGTGGAATCAAGCCTCATACATATGTAAGAAGTAAAGGGATATTTAAATGATATGCGTTTTTCTCATATTACTAATGGCGGTAGATATTCTGCCAGACCCGCTTTTAATCAAATGCTTAGATTCTGCATCCTGTATGTAGTGACACGTGAGTGTAATATTTGCTGCGTCACATAAATCTAGTCATCGAACCTGACTTTTGAATCCGTGTCGGCTGTAATTGCAAATCTCTTGAATGAGAGCTAAAGCAGCTCGAACGTAGCATTGTCAAGGCTATACAACCAACAATGCTATTACTTTGTCAATCTCCACCGAATCTTGCTGTTACTTATGTTGTTTCACAAAAAACGAACGGTCTATGAACACGTGGGGAGGCAACTCTGGAGCAAGTGCAACACTTCGTTCAAATAGTGAAGAGACAGATCAAACGCTTTCAATCAAAGTTCACACGCCATACACCTTCGTACAAAGCTATATATCCCAGCTCCACTACCCCCTGCTGAGACTTCCAGTCGCCGTTCATAAGGTCACGGGGACGCATCCAATGGAGATCAAGTCGCCCTAGACACTAGTTAGAGAAAGGCTTTTGAGTTATCGTGAACGAGGCTTACCACGGAGTTGTCGGAGCAGCAGACCGGCTGAGCATTGCAGTTGCCTCCCACACCGATAGTGGTGCAATCCAGCCCAAGAAGGACATCGACGTCCTCGAGGACAACGCCGAGCACACCGAGCAAGAGGCTCCCCGCCACGGAGTTGGCCTGTTTAGAAAAGGTCAGCGTTCAGTGTATCGTCATTGCAGTTTCTGCACTTACAGCCTCAGTAGACTGGCAGCATTGAAGGTCGCTGGTGTCGCACTGGCTCGCCGTCGTCGCCGTCGGCGGCGTGGCAGTCAC